AATAAATATGTCGGTAAACTAATGGAGGTTGAATTAGGAGGGAAAAGATTGACTTCATTTTCGGTTAGATGTTTCAGTTTAAATACATTAAACGTGAATTAATTACTGGTGTCACAGTACTTATTTAAGAGCAATAATTGTCTGAAATGTATATAAACGAAGAATTTAAACAACAACATCATCAATATAAAATTAGAAAATAATAAGCTACCTCTCTTAAAACTTAATTTTTTTTTTGGTACTTTTTTCTGTATCCTTCTGTCTGATTCTCATATGTAATTTTTAGAACTAAAAATTTTTAAACTTATGGTGACTTTTTTTTTTACTTAAAATTATATCATACTAATGAAGTTCAGAGTCTAACACATCTGTATCATATTTGGATATTATACTTGAAAAAGACGTTAATGGTAATCTAACAACCAAGCTCTTTGTGAACGTGATGACTAACTTTACAATTGACAACTTCCCTTACTTATGCAGCAATATACCTTCTTCACCTGCACACAGAGTTTATATATCTCAGATGATTCGATACGCAAGAGCATGCTCTACGTACGAACAACTTCTTAAACGAGGTAAATTATTGACAAACAAGTTGACGAAACAAGAATATCAAAACAGTCTCGTTTAAATTTTTCATTTTGTAAGTTCTATGGTCGATACAATGACCTTGTCAGCAAATACAATCTATCATGGAGTCAAATGCTGACTGACGTTTTTCATACTAATTGTTAGTCCATTATTTATACACTGAATTGACGACGGATTTTCCCGTTATTTCCCGGTCATGACAAGGAGCGGGTCGGCAGGAGATATTCGCTTCTCCATGGCACCTGATCTCAACTCTGATGTTTCGAAGGTCTGTGTTTGCTCTTCTCCTATTTTGATTGTTTGAGACTTTTGATCTTGAATGTTGTTTGTTATCTCCATATGTTTCATTCCATATATTTCATACTAAAAAAATTATTATACCAGTATTATGAGACAGATGTCCCATCCATTACAAAATTAGAAATGATTAATTTCAAATCTCGGGCAACAAATCAGTTTAAATATCCAAAGTATTAACAAAGTTGATATCCTACAATCCCAAAAATTCCTACTGGTACTGGGTGAGCAGATATTCAGCAGAAGTTGTGAAAAAATACTTGTATCATAGAAGGCGTCTCTAATAAGCATAGTACTGGATGATAAAATAGGCCTTTTCTTGTGTTTTTAAACTTTTTATTTACATCCATGAAAATATACTTCTGAACAGATGAGTCCTTTTCGAAAGGAAATACCATTTATTTCAAATCATTAAAGAATATACAGTGCTAGCAATCAATCAATTCATAGTTTATTCTCGCAAACTGTAATAAAAGTATAGGACAGAGTCTTTGATTTGAAGGTATATTGCTCCATCGACCTATCTCTATTGGTTTCTGGAAAATACAAGTCAATTAGATACATGTATTTGAATACATGTATCGTCTGTTAACAGCGTAAAATCATTTTTAAACTACGTAAAAGAGGAAATTCATTTACAGTGAACGATGTGTAATTTCTTTAAATAAATTCTTTCAGAACCACAAAAACAGGTGATTTTCTTCACTTTGTTTAATTTAGAAATGTGTTTAATAAAAACTTAAAAATATATATACAGCAACAGTAATTTGATATAATATGATTCACGTTTTTAATCTCCCATGAAATATAATTACAGTGCAAATAAAAGATTGATCAATTACCACGGAGAAGTCTCTGTTTTTTATAATTCAATTTCCTGTAGAGTGATTGATAAGTTACTGCATTTTATTGACACGTTTTAATATTCGGCAGTACTAGAGGCAGAATAAAATCTTAATACTCTTGCCGAGTCGCTGAACAGTTCGATATATGATGTTGTCATCAAAGAAACTTTTGGGTCTTGCGTCAAAACTGAAATGGGAATAAAAGTAAATTAATAATTGACATTTTCTCCCAAATTGAGTCAATTTTTTGGAAGCTCGTAAAATGAGAAATACGCCCAAAGGAACATGTTTTCATTTTTACAATAATTTGTTGCTGCCTTGAGGTATGTATTTAATCATTTGTGTATATAAATTAGCATTATGCATACGACATAATTGGATGTGTATTAATTTACATTAAGTTAGGCTTAAATCCAAAATAACATGCTTAAATATAATATGTTAATATTTCCCTGCATTATATTTTTAATAAGGGAAGTGTATGAGGAAATTCATTGCTGTTGCAGCTCTTGTGAAAAACCATGCATCAAACTTGTCAAATGCTTCTTGAATGTAATTGTTTGGATATTTTATCTTACTTTATCACTACAAAACGTCTATTATTTTGCCCAGAATCATTGTTAACTTAAAAATTGCACAGTTTTTAGAATTTTTAGATAAAATTGAAATTATTACTCTAGCTCTGGTGATAATGAATTGTGAAGATAGAGAACAGTAACCATGCTCTAAAGTCCAAATAAACAATACAAACTGAGAGCAATGCAACCACGGACTCGGAAACTTCTAAGGTGGAATCAGATGCCAATACGTCGACCAGCCACATCGCTGTGTCCTAATCATCAGTTTTGAGCGTAAAAATGCAAAAATCATTAGATAAATCTTTTTAAAAATAATTTTCAAACAATTTGCATATTAACCGTCAATCAACATGTGAACTAACGATAAAATCTATTTGCAAACGATGTCACTGTGTCAATCAGACTTTTCAAAATGGTGTAACAAGATGTCTTTTTTTTTTTATAAAGAAATTTTACGAGATTCCTAATACCCTTGTTTCATCTATGTCTTAAAACATTGTTTGTTCATAAAACATGCATTTCTGTAACGAATCAACTGTGAGACACAAACAAGTTATAAATGTATATCAAGTCATAAATACGGTAAATTGAACATTTAATAATAAAAATTTAACCTTCATATTTCTAATAAATCTTCGTTGTTTGTTGTTGTTTTTTCTCGTAAAACATCTTCTCTAGATATTAGAAATAAATAATATGAATTAAAGAGCGTCGTCAATATATCTTAATGCCGAACAGAAGGTCAAAGGGACACACTTCTTTTTATGTAAAAGTTTATTTATTTTCACCCTGTAAAATTTTCAAGGGTTTTTCTTTTGAGCATTAAAAAAATCAAGATATTTACAACTACATTTATTTCAATGCCACTTTCATGAAGATTGTAATTGGAGAGTCTTTTACTGGAACATTGGACGATAAATACTACGTAGTATTTTACAAACATCTTTTGTAAAACTCTAAGAGTGTACTTTTCCACAATGCCTGAAAAATTCCTTAATTTTCCAGGGGCTCGTGTTTGAGGTTTTGTTATGTTTTTAGAATCTTTTAGTATCATCACTGTTTTCAATTACGTTTTTTATTTTGTTCTTCATATATTACTGACAATTGTAAACATCCCCTGACATTCTTTAATAGTTCACTTTGAATTATTCCCTTCTGAAGAAAATATTGTTTGATTTTGTCTGAATTATGAATATAACAAATCTTTACAACGATCAATATGATTTCAACTGAACAATTTCGAATCCTGGTATATTAATCTTCATAAAATCTAACAATGGTATCAAATATTGCTAATCAAACACAGCGACAAAGGTCAAATACAAGATGTTTTGTGGTAGCACTCTATATTTGCTGACATGATTTCAGCTTAAAAGACATTTACTTTGAGGATACTAGTATCTTCACGCGTTTGCAAAAAAAAAATGTTAACTTTATTTATAGATAGTAGACATTTTATAGAATAAGACAAAAAATCGTAATTTCAATTAAAACGCAATTTTACAATGTAATTCACAAATACAGAAATACCGAGCCATTGAATTTTAACATAGGTAATAGCTGTTAATAATAACAAAACCGCAACCATTGGCAAATGAGATCTTTGGTACAGGGTAAATATATAAATTCTGTCAAGATAAAATAGAGTCATTGTTTAAGATGTCATTGTTGTCAACTCATTTTGACAAAACAATTGTTTACCTTGCTTACGCTAAGTAGTCAAAAACAATTTCAATTTTCGTATGGGAAATCATCATTTTCTTGTTACCTTCGACATGAAATAAAATAACTTTAATAGGTCAATGCAATAATTAAATACTTGCATTTTATCTTAAAAATGGAGTTCAAACCATTGCTTTATTAGATTTCAAAGCTATTCTAACACGCCCAAAGTAAATCAAAAAGCATGTGAGCAATCAATCAAACATTATATAATTTGCACGATGATATTTATTATTTGATAGATTTAAGAACTTGTATACCAGCAATATTAAACTTTACGAGTCATTCATTCAAAGCTGAAAAATACTTTAATTTGGCTGATGGATGATTAAAATATCCGTTACCACCCTGACCTCAAAGGTATATCTTTCTCGAGCACCATGAACAACTGAAGTGTGCATAGAACCAAAACTCTTTTCGGAATCAGAACATTTTATCAACCAGCAAGACAATTCAATGGTACAAATAAAGATTGGTAGTGCCTGTTTTGCACCAGTTTTAAATTTGTGAAAATTGAAACACAGCAATCTAGATTTGAAACATAAACATGTTTGAAGAAAATGTCTCAAACATTACACAGGCAACATTGCCTCAAATTATCCACATATGTATACCATATGTACATCATATGATTGGTTTCATACGAGAATCATAAAAAAGGGCATCAGTTGTGAATCATATGAAGCAAATCAAATGATTCACATATGATGTCTCATATGCATGATTCTCGTATGATTGTATATACATATGATTCTCATATGATCCACATACGATCCTCATATGAAATGCAATGTATATGTGGATCATATGTGGCAAAATTGCTTATGTACTAAATAGTGATTTTAAAACCACCAAAATCGGTATTTATTATGCATTTTCAATTAAATTTATTTGAATCATTTTATATGTCTGAGCAAAAGCGTTATGAATTTCAACAAATATATGCAGATAATTATCACACGAAACATTGACATGTTGTATGACAAATTACCTGCTGAAGAACCACGTGATCGTTCCGCTTGGCTGCGTCCAACAACAAACCAGGTGTGGGAGAAAAGTTGGCCGTCTTTCATTTATTCAACTGTCTCTTGCTGTGTACATTTTGAATTATTTTTATAGGACATTATTTATTAATTATAAAACATATGAGAGGATTTTTCAAAAGGTATGTCTAAACTTTAATTTTAGATTTTCTCTATCTTCTGTGTTACTCAAATGAATAACTGTACAAGTATTATTCAAAAAGATATTTTAACCTAAATATAAACACTTTATTTGGAGCAAAGTCTCAAAAAATGATATTCTTGATTTAATCATATACATTCCGTCTTATTGATAATTGTAATCATATAAATTTTTCTATCATGTTCCGTCAATGTATTAGTAATTGTTTGTTACTATTTTACGTCAATTAAAATGTCATCTATGCCCGTAATGTGTACGAATTACACGTGTTTCCTTGATTGATGACAAAAACACCAAGATGAACACATTGGAAACTTGCAAGAATCACACCTATTTAACGAGCTAGTTTTCAAGACAAACGCATCACGTATACATATTTATCTTGGTATCCTCGTAATTCCATTTTTTTTAGTCTTCCTGTCAAGTTAATTGTATTCTTATCCCGAGATTAGCATGAGAATATCACTAGATTGTAGACCTGCTTTTGCGGTACCTTTTCTGCGGTACAGCTAAACGTTATGGCGAATATGACAATAAAGAAGACACGAACTGATCTGCTGTCATTAAACCTGACCAAGGGAGAATTCCCTTACCACGAGAGCCCATATTGGGGCATGTAGAGAAGATACGTTGGTTATTTCATACCTCATAACAATGGTTGTAGACAACGTATGTAATGTGTAAAATAGAAATTATTAGCATTTTTATACAAATCTTTGACGAACATTTTTTATCATAAAAATGGTGGAACTTTACAGGTCATTTACTGCGAAGGAAAATGTCAAAGAGGGTTTTGCAGAGTGGGAGAAATACGATTAGACAAGTCAGGAATAGCAATTATGAATTACTTTAAATAAAAAATTCTGGTTAAAAACAAACATTTAAATGTGTTAGAAGTCGTAAATTTCAATATTTGTAAGATTCGAATATATAAGTAGACATATTTGTTTACCTGCCACTCTTTGCTACAAATGATGCCAATAATCTGAAAAACAACGTAACAGTATTTATAGCCCTAATTATAATTTTGGTCTTTCTTAATGACATTTGTATTCTTACAAGCAGACACTTAGTCTTATTTGAGAATTAATGGGTCATCAAAAAAACTCTCAGCCTATACAAACCTTACATTTGATCTCCGCATTATTCTCGTGGTACTATGGTAACATTACCGAGAGCGAGACTGCTGCTGACACGGACAAAATCGGCGCTCTTCTTCCTTAATTTCTAAAATTGTGGTTACAGAGTAGCTTACTTGTTTGAAAACTCATTCTCTGTGGTCGAAGTTTCCTGCAAACTGTATGTCCCTGCAGTGCAATAATGTATCTGTGTAGAACTTGTTCTAAGTTAAGGAAGTAAAAGACAAGCTGACATCTCTTGAAGTGTTCTGCTCTTTTCACTCTATTAAAGAACTGACATAATAATACTTTTATCAAATGCTGTTTATAATGTAAAGCTATGTCTTCTTGAGATTCTACGACATTCCTACCTCCTTACGCTACCAAATCCCGCAGTAAGACTTAATCAAAAAGATACCTTTTAAGGTTTCTTAAGGTCTTTATATCTTTTAAGTTAACATGTACTTACTTTTATAGGTACCACATGATGAAATGTGGATAATGAGTAATACTAACAATAGCCTAGAATTGTCAGCTGTCTTGTTGTTTACTAATCGGGGACAAACGTTTCGTGATTCTGTTAACACAGTTTAAACTCCCTCGCAACCCTAAACTGATGCAATTAATTAACAATATGTAATTAACATTCATTAATTGAAACTAGTGCAATGAGTCAATTTTTTTTAAAAAGTAACTAATGATTATGACATGTACTTTTGAACAATACGGTTAACAGCAAGTCAAATAGTGCATCATGGTGTATTTCGGTGCTTAAGCACTTCATGTCATATACGAAGTATGAGACTATTACTAGAAAATCAAGCTGCCTCATTCGTATCATGGAATATTGAACAAAGATCTTGACACATTTACGTATTGTTTAAATTTTTATTTGACCTAACTTGTGCACACCTTTGGAACTCTGTTATGTCGAATCAATCTGTTTTCCTATTTGAATATCGTCGTTCTATTGATGAGCTTGTTTAATTAAATGGAAAGTCAAACTGTCACTTAAGTGGTCTCAATGACAAATCATAAACGGGCCAAACTACTCCAAATAGTCCATCAATATCAATTACCTTCCACTCATGAAGTCAGGTATTAAACTCTGATTGGTACCGCCAAGGGAGCTAAAGAACTATATAATGTACCATATTGGTCTTCTTTAAATGCATTGCATTTATGGTTGATATAGTCCAATCAATTATCTGAAATATTCTGTCAACGTTAATCTTTCTAATAACTGCCACAATAATACACAGGTCTTGACATGAATATTCATTTCTTGTCCCGGGATGATGAAACACCTTAAGCTTAAGTCAAAATCTTTATGCTGTACTTAAATTTTATAAAAGACAAACAGATCGACATTGAAATGTGTTTCGATTTTGATTCATAAAGATGTTGTTATTTGAAAATTTTAAGACCAATTCAATAATAATTTTAAATATTTTATAGGCATTTGAAAATTGACTTAAGTCCAAGTCTGTTTCATGATCCTGGGGCCTGATCCTTTTGGATCTTACAGTCTTACAGTAATTACTTTATCTGGACAGTGGACAAGGCCGATTGATTGTTTTGAAAACCTTCCATATTCCCTTATTCTAATCACTGAGTTCCGAAAGACATAAAATTTATTTGTTTTAAAACTAAAGCATGCATGAAGTATATTTTATGTTTTGGGTATTTTACTTCGAATTTTGAAAATCAGTTCAAAAATAAAAAAAAATATTATAGTGCATGTCGAAAATTAGAGCAAATTTATGCACTTCTTGGAGAATACTATTTACAAAAGGTATTGAAATGTATGTAATAGAAAATAAAGGATGTTAAATACACATAGTAACTACCAAGACGGTTACATGTGGTCTAAATAAAAGTTGTAATCAAAGACATCCCGTCATTCAGGACGTATTTCGGTGAAGCATTATTTCGTTCTTATTATTATGATGAGGTAGCGGAAACAGTATTGTCAGAATGAATAATATGGTTTGAATACTAAGGTTTGATGTCATAAATCCATGCATGTTCTAATTGTTAAAAACACCACGCACGGTAACATGATACATGTATAAATAAGAACTTAAGATTTGAACAAGTTACTAGTAAACTAAGCTTTCCATCAACAGGTACATGAGCCTTTAGTTTGATTCTCTGAATGGAAATGACCTTCAGCGATGCGTCATTTTTTTTTTCAAATTTACAGCTATGAATGTAATAAATGAAAATGAATATGAATTCTTATATATTTTTTCTCATTAAATCTTCATAATTATTTCTTTCAGATGGCCAAAATGAATTTTACGCTGTTATTTGTTAGTCTTGTAATTCTTAAAGGTACGTTCTTCTCCAAATTGTCTGTATCTACTTTCTTAACGTTGGAAAATTCTTTCATTATTGTATAATTAATTGTTTCAGTTTGCCAAAGTTATAACCGAGTATGTTATTACACAAATTGGGCCCAGTATCGACCAAGTAATGCAAAATATGTTCCCGAAAACTTAGATCCATATCTTTGCACCCATTTAATATTCGCTTTTGCCAAAATGAATGGAAATCGCCTGGTAGCGTTCGAATGGAACGACGAATCAACAGACTGGATGCGTGGAATGTAAGTATTATCAGGATCTTTGTTTATTGAAACTACCCATGTTCTTTTCAATAGTTGATTATTAGAGAAAAATACCAAGAAAGATTGTACTAGATTCTAAAACTAGAAGATTTGTTTTTAAATATATTTTTGTTCCTGCCAGGTTTAAATTATGAAGAGTTCGATTTTTTTATTTATGCCAAAGGGATAAACATCTTATTTAAATAAAAAAGCTATTGTGTACATTCAAAGCAATAACTTTGACTCTTGAAAAAGTATTTAGAGTCATGATGCTTAATTCTGCATGGTATTCAATGTCACATCTTCCTAAAATAACACGTGCTATGACAGGTATGCCAAGTTCAATGACATTAAATTGAAAAATCCAGCTCTAAAGACATTGCTAGCCGTCGGTGGGTGGAACATGGGGTCTAAACCCTTTACCCAAATGGTAAAGACACACGAAAGCAGAGCAGAATTTACCAAATCAACCATCCAATTCCTCAGAGAAAGAAATTTTGATGGTCTTGATTTGGATTGGGAATACCCTGCCAACAGGGGAAGCCCCAAGGAAGATAAAGATAGATTCACCAAGCTTGTCATCGTAAGTTTCCTTTTTACCATCGTCACAAATCAATGCCAAAAAGGACGATCCTCTGCCATTCTAATGAAAGAGCGATATGGACCGTGCTTTGCTTCGATGACTAATAACAAACATATTTTAATACAATACTTACATATGTCTGCCAAAATGTGATCAATTAATTTTTCTAACAACCTTGTAGCAACTTAGATCTGCATTTAACCAAGAAGCAGCGATGACTGGAAAAACGCCATTGATGTTAACTGCCGCAGTGGCTGCTGGGAAAGACAAAGTAGACACTGGCTATGAAATTGCTACAATTGCCAGGTATGAATTTATCTTAATCAAATATGCTTAATCATTTTAATTTATCTTGGATGAAAATTTCATTTTTATATTACATACTGAATCTTTAATTTTCCAGACATATGGATTTCATTAATGTAATGACCTATGATCTTCATGGTCCTTGGGAGAAAGTTACTGGACATAACAGTCCTTTACATGCCAGGAGGGAAGAGTTTAGTCCTGATAACCAATTAAACATCGTATGTAAACAACATACAGTATAGCATATTGAATGTTTCATCTAGTATATATGTTAAATGATGGTATTTTTTTTTTATACTTCTTCAATTCACTCAATTTCAAATCAATGTATATCATTCTACAATATTTAATTTGCATATATCTTTCTAAGATGAACCTATTGAAGAGAAATAATGTTCAATTCAGTTTGAATTTCATTTGGGGGTCAGAGGTCATAGCTCGACCGGATCACAGAGCGATGTGATATTTTGACCAAACAACTTCTAGGTCATTGCGCGTCACTACATAGCAATACGTTGGCCCGTTCGTGTAATAAATACAATTTAACTCGAAATGTATTCGTTTCAAATGTAAATATAAGTAATAAACAACAATGTTAAAAAGTTCACTGGGAAATGAACTTTTAGTTGGTACGTGATCAGATCTACTGAGAGGCCCTTCGGGCTTCACAGGATTTGATCACTGACCAACTAAAAGTTCATTTTCCAGAGAACTTTTTAACATTGTTGTTTATTTCTTAAATATACTTTTTGTTAAGCCTCAACAAGAGATGCTTTAAAAGATCTTAAATGTGCTTTAAGGAGGGATTCTTCAAGTATATAATCAAGTATATTTCTTATTCTTAGAAATTCATGAAATTTTCATAGATTCGAGAAAACAACATCCCTAAGTGATGTCAATTAGAATACATTTAACCGTTTTATTTTAGTAGCAAGGTCAGGTCAAGGTCATTATCTTTTTCCTTGACATTAAGAACAAATTATTTATATTGCCAATCATATGATACCTTCTTCTATTAAAAAAGACCATTTTTTGCATTAAATAGAGAATAATACATACCCTTTTCCATATCACATCCTGTATCAGCCCGAGACACCAATATCAGCCAGAGGGCCGAAGGCCAAAGGGATGATATTGGTCGAGGGCTGATACAGGATGTGATGTGGAAAAGGGTATGTTTTATTATGTTTATTAATTATGTTTATTACATAATTAGTAATAAACTACAGTACATATTAAGTTGAGAAGAAAATAAGTAAATAATCATGCACGAACTTCTTATATTTACATGGTATATTGTCTCGTATGGTTTAGGTTTGTTTCTACTTCTATTTCAAATGTGCCTGATTCGTAATTTGAATATAATCTATCATTTTCAATTATACTTTCAAAAAGTTAAAAGAGAATTTATTACATACTTAGTAATAAATACAGGATTTTTGCATATGCGATACGCCTGACATCACAATAGCCGTATCAGTAGCCGTAGCTGCAGGGCTGATATGGATTTGCGGTGCTGATACGGATCAATATCAAACCCCTAGAAAATTAAACCTCAAAAAACAGTACTCGTGATCATACAAATATTTTGGGGGTTACATATTCTCATAATTTTCACTTTTTGAATGTAAGGAAAATCTAAATGACGTCTAATAGATTATTTTTAAATTACGGATCGGGCACATTTGAAATAGAAGTACATGTAGAAACAAACCCAACCCATATGATACAATAGACCGTGTACATGTAAGACGTCAGTGTATGATTATTTACTTATTTTCTTCTCAACTTAATGTGCACTGTATTTTATTACTAAGTATGTAATAAACATAATAAAACATACCCTTTTCCACATCACATCATGTATCAGCCCTCGACCAATATCAGCCCTCGGCCCTTCGGCCTTCTGGTCTCGGGCTGATGTGACATGGAAAAGGGTATATATTATTCTCTATGTATTTTTACCCCCAAAATATGTGTCTGAACACAAGTACTGTTTTAGCTCACCTGAGCCGAAGGCTCAAGTGAGCTTTTCTGATCAAAATTTGTCCGTTGTCTGTCGTCGTCGGCGTCGGCGTAAACTTTTCACATTTTCGTCTTCTTCTCAAGAACCACTGGGCCAATTTCAACCAAACTTGCCACAAAGTATCCTTAGGTAAAGGGGATTCAAGTTTGTTCAAATGAAGGGCCAAGCCCTTTTCCAAGGGGAGATAATTATGAATTAATGAAAAATTAATGGCATTTTTCAAAAATCTTCTTCTCAAGAACCACTGGGCCAGGAAAGATGAAACTCATGTGGAAGCATCCTCAGGTAGTGTAGATTCAAATTTGTTCAAGTCATGACCCCCAGGGGTAGGGTGGGGCCACAATGGCCGATCAAAGTTTTCCATAGGAGTATATAGGGGAAATCTTTAAAAATCTTCTTCTCAAGAACCACTGGGCCAGGAAAGATAAAACTCATGTGGAAGCATCCTCAGGTAGTGTAGATTCAAGTTTGTTCAATTCATGACCCCCAGGGGTAGGGTGGGGCCACAGTGGCCGATCAAAGTTTTACATAGGAGTATATAGGGAAAATCTTTAAAAATCTTCTTCTCAAGAACCACTGGGCCAGGAAAGATAAAACTCATGTAAAAGCAGCCTCAGGTAGTGTGGATTTAAGTTTGTTCAATTCATGACCCCCAGGGGTAGGGTGGGGCCACAATGGCCGATCAAAGTTTTACATAGGAGTATATAGGGAAAATCTTTAAAAAAAAATTTCTCAAAAACCACTGGGCCAGAAAAGATGAAACTCATGTGGAATCATCCTCAGGTAGTGTAGATTCAAGTTTGTTCAATTCATGACCCCCAGGGGTAGGGTGGGGCCACAATGGCCGATCAAAGTTTTACATAGGAGTATATAGGGAAACTCTTTAAAAATCTTCTTCTTAACATGCTTAAGAACCACTGGGCCAGGAAAGATGAAACTTATGTGAAATCATCCTCAGGTTGTGTAGATTCAAGTTTGTTCAAGTTATGACCCCTGGGGGTTGGGGGGGGGGGGGGGGGGGGCAAAATGGCTGATCAAAGTTCTACATAGGACTAGATAGGGAAATCTTTCAAAATCGTCTTCTCAAGTACTTCAAAGCCATCATTAGTGATATTTATGTGGAATCATCCTCAGGTAGTGTAGATTCTAGTTTGTTCAAATTATAACCCCCAGGGATAGGGGAGCCACAGAGGGGGATCCAAGTTTTACATTAAAATATATATTAAAAAAAATCTTCCAAAGAATAGCAAAGCTATGATTAGTAATACTAGTATTTATATGGAAGCATTTTCGGGTAGTGTAGAATTAAATTTGTTCAAATCATAACCCCCAAGGGTAGGGTGGGGCCACAATGGTGGATCAAAGTTTTTTTCATAGAAAAATAAAGGAAAAAATCCCAAGAACAGAAAAGCTGTGTTTAGTCATATTGACATTCAAGCATCCTCATGTATTGAAGATTTAAATTTATTCAAATCATGGCCCTTTGGGGTAAGGAGGGAAACGATGGGAATCAAATTCAAATTATTATGAAGTTATATATAGGAAGAAAATGTTTTTGAAAAATCTTTTTATTAAGAACAGCAAAGTCATATCTGTATTAATATGATGACAATCTCAAGTAGTATTAAAATTCACCCCCCCCCCCTCTTCAGTGAACTCAGTTCTGATCTGATTTGTGCTTTTTCCTAGCCGATTTGTTCAGGTGAGCGATGTGGCCCCTGGGCCTCTTGTTTAGGTTTAATTTTCTAGGGGTGTGATATTGATCCGTATCAGCCCCGTAAATCCATATCAGCCCTGCAAATCCATATCAGCCCTGCAGGGCTGATACTGCTATTGTGACATCAGGCATATCGTATAACCAATAATCCTGTATTTATTACTAAGTATGTAATAAAAGATGTTACCATAAAGGGTCCATCAGATGATACTACCAAATTAACATTATTAATGGAAGATAATTAATAGCTAGTGAATTTACACTAATCTTAAAAAAAAAATTAGGGAATATTAGTATTTATCATATGCCTTTTATATTAATTTCTTCTTATTGTTACACACGATAAAGTAGTTACATACGAGGGTTGATCCAAAAGTTCGTGGAATTTCTTTTTAAAATTTTATCGTGATTTGATGAAATCAATCAACAGGCATATTCATAACATAGAGTCATAATGCAACAATATTGGAAAATTTCACCACTTTCGAATTACCAATAAGGTCACACGAGCTTTCTGAAAATGGATAGTTGGGAAACCCGGGGGAGACTTCGACGTAACATCAAGTTAGATATGTCACGTTACGATATAGAAACATCTCACCCTAATGTCCAATTCTAATACGTAATTCTACAAAATGCTGCCTTTTTCTCCATATTTTTCTCTAGAAAAGCCTGGGTATCCTCTCGCACCAACTTATCTTCATTTTTTACTCATATTTCAAAATACTACCCATCTGTCCATATGATGTTCCAATTTCAGTAGCAATGTCAAGAACAGTACGGCAGCCGACAACGTCCATTAACGCTTTTAATTTGTCTAGGGGATACGTACAGTGTACTTAAACAGAGCCTCTAAAAAGCGACCACACCTTTTATCAACGTCCACGGAAGATCTATTTTTCTTAAATTTCTAAAGGCCACTGGAAAACCAGTAACTAAATGCATTTTTCCCAAGCCTATGTCAATAATATATGCGTTTAAGATAGAGTGATCCCGGGATTTTCACAAAACGTGTGACTTGACCGAAATTTGACGTTATCTAACAACTTACAGATGAGAATAAATCATCAAGTTATAAACTAAATATCCAGTAAAATCAGTAAAACTCTCACACAAAGGTTTATAAAAGATCAAGCAATCGTAATAATGAAATAATTTTCGTTTTATATACCACATAGGGCGGTTTAATTCTTATTTCCCGAATTAAGAATTTAAATGATAATAAACGAGTTAATGTCTCCCTCGCATTTCCAAACAACCGTTTCTATGGCAACTGCCATTAAGTTACTATCAAAGATATTTAAAATGTTTTTTGAATTAAAATATTCATCAAGTGTCTATATTTTCATTTGTAATTTTCAACCAATTCCATTGAAAAATAAATAAACTGAAGAAATTCCACGAACTTTTGGATCAACCCTCGTATATATAAAGATACAAAATGATACAAAAACGAAAAATTTCGACAGTTTATTTAGAGAGAAAATACATTTTTTACTGATTTTTGTTCAAATCTGTATCTAGTTTGGAATTTTTTTAAAAATCTAACAAGGTTGTATTTGTTTTGAAAATGAAATTTATTTGATATCTTTTAAAATTTTAGTCTATTATTATTATTTTATTGACAGTGGATTTTTTAATCCTTTGATTGTTTAAAAATTTAAACTTAATTCATTGTTCTGCAGTAAGTTTTAGGAAGCAGAAAAGGAGATATTTTCATACACCGTCGTTCTGCCAAAAATTAAATCGCTCCTATATTTCAATCTCAGTTACCATTTCTATTTAAAGTTGTATAATAATGAGATGGATAAATATTATGATCTTTTACATCTCTTACAACTTATTATATGAAAACTATAAGCAAAATATACTTAAAATATTTCATTTAGTCATAAACCAGACAAGAATTCCTCCTTAAACCTACACAATATACTTCTTCAACTATAGGTGTTCATATATATATATATATATATATATATATATATATATATATATATATATATATATATATATATATATATATAAGTTACAAATTGCAAAACTACACAATCCTAGTGGGATGTCTTTATAATTATATTTTAAGTCTCGTTAAATCGCTTGGTTCAAACTTAAGGATAATCTATTAACAATCAAGAAAACAAAAGCTATAGGCCTAGGCTCTACACGGTTATTATCGAACAGTTAGGTAATTTAATTACATGTATATATTTACCTTTGGCATCTTAGGCCTGGGTTGCAGAATACTGGAATAAAAACGGACTACCCAAAGAGAAGTTGAATGTCGGACTGGCTCTTTATGGTCGATCTTTCACATTAACAGACCCATACAACAATGGAGTGGGGGCCCCAGCCAAAGGAAAGGGTAACGCTGGTAATTATACCAGGGAGGCTGGATTTCTGTCCTACTTTGAGGTACCTTTTTTTTAAAAAAAATGAAATCAAATTTCAAATCATTGCTTGATATATTTGTTATTATACATTCACAGCGCAAAATCAACTTGAAATAGACATGTATTCATATATAGATCTTAGTATTGTAGGATGTCACGTGGTTGACTTTTCAACCCTTTAATGTAGAATTCGACGAAAAATAAACATAGTGACCGTATATTATAATCCATCTTTTAACTTTGTAACTTCTAATTTTAAAAACTGTATATATATTCATGAAATCTTTCCTGAAATTTTGGCACAAGTGTTTTTTTTCTTTTTTAATTCAGGTGTGCCAGAAACTATCAGAGGGTGCCCAGAGACATTACATCGCAGAGCAGATGTCCCCCTACATCACCTACGCTGACCAGTGGGTCGGTTATGACGATATGGATAGCTTAGCTGTAAAGGTAGGATGAAAAGCATGATAGTAGTCGTGAAAAAGACCTAAATATGATTTTAAATTCCAAAACCATCCTAAACTTTGCATCCTAGTACAGGTTATTTTCTGCAATAATTTAAAAGCTGGAATTAATTTTTGAATTTTAAAAACAAATAAATTTCGTGTAGCCTGTGGAGATTAACATTCTGAATTCATTTCCACCGCTGCCTTTCAGGTTGACTACATAAAGAAGCACAGATATGGCGGTATCATGGTGTGGGCCCTGGACTTGGATGACTTTAACTTTATCTGTAACTCCACCACCGAGACTTACCCTCTACTGAGGAGGATCAACCAACAGCTGGGGGTCAAACTTCCACAGTAAGTCACTATCAGACAGGGGCAAAACTATAAAATTTTGCCATGTGACCCAGTCATGAATGAATATTCACTCTAAAAAAAAAGTGTCAGTCGGTAATCTAGATCTAAATACTTGGGTTTTGTAGTTATCAGCCGAAAATGTCATCAAATGCTTCGGTTTGCCAATATCATTGTAAAGCTTACCAATATGAATTTAAACTGAAAGTTTTTCTTCGAATGATTTTTTTTCAGCTGTCAGATGTCAGGTGCGTTGCTGCCAGACCGTTTCTAAGCAATTATTTAAAATGTATATTCTATCTCAAAATAATTTTCAACAAAATGCAGATAATATAAGGTTTTCTTTCAACAGTGGAAGTAGTTCTATAAATCGTGCTCCTCCTAAGAAAAAACCGGAGGCTAGGCTTCAATCTAGTAAGCCTAAATTGCCACAGGCTAGTAAACCTAAATTGCCAAGAGCTAATAAACCAACCTGGTTTAAGCCTAAACCACAACAAACGAGGTACCTTAATTTGAATGGTGGAATATAGCGATGTAGTTGTGGATTACATGAAGGGGCGATCTGATTAGAATGTTTTAACACTAATGTTAAAGAATGTTAGCATGGAGGACAATTGTGTTTTCTTTACATTAATTCCCTCTTTTCCCTTATCTTCTTAGTGCATGTTATCAAAGTAGTGTTAATCATAACATTTTACTAATCGATTCATAACATAATGACATTTCTTATTGCTGTTTTTATTAAATAATTGGTGACAGACAATGAATCAAATAAGATGTGTGTATAGAAATATGAAATATTTATTTCAGCAAATATCGTATAAAGAACACTCTCATACAGTTTTAATTACAGTTACTTATTATGACGAGTGATCTTTCCCAATGTACTTATGAACGGAAAACTGTATACCTGTTTGTTTTCTCTGTAGGACATCTTCAATTACACGCCCTCCTTCCGGTCAAAGTTCCGGTACAGGATCAGGACCCTCCAAGCCGTCTGCTCCTCGTGAGTAAACATTGTTACGCACAAAATCCAAATGAAGAACCTTAGACTTTTCTCTTGTGAATTTATCCACAGGATCCAAAATTTAAGTATCACAGATTTGTATTCTTGTGTTTTTAAATGTAAGTTGTTTATCCTTTTGCAGACAGTCCTAAGCCTTCTGGGGGTAAAAAATTCAAATGTGAAATTGGAGGAGATGGTCTCTATGCAAGTCCCTACTCATGTAATGAATACTACACCTGTAATGATGGACACGCCCATCATTTTAAATGTGCCCAAGGATTACATTTCAGCAGCCAGTTCAACTTTTGCGGATGGCCGAAGGACGTGGTGTGTGATCTAGACGCTGCTCGCAAGAGGGCGAAACAAGTTCTTAGTAACGAACCTGAGCCTGCAGCTCCGCCACAGCAACCTGTCCAGAAAACTCCCCCGCCAATATACAACCCCGCACCAGAAAGGCAAAATGCATTTCAATTTCAACCAAATGTGCCAAATCAACAGCAACAACCGGTGAATCAGCAACAGAATGTACAACAGCAGACATGGAATCAAGTGCCAAGTCAGCCTAAAGTAGCTCCGCAACCACCAAGGAGAAATATCCAACAACAGCAGCGACAACAACAACAGCCACCTGTGCAACAGACGCAACAAAGCCAGCAAAGGAATGTGATGGACTCTGTGGCATCAAATGATCCCTGGAGATGGCTGGAACCAGTTCAAGAGCAACAGAATCAGATGCCGTTCTACTGGAACTGTTAGTACTTTGTATTGAAATGTCTTGTTAAAGAAAGAAAATATCTGTTTGTATGCATGTCTAGGTTGCAGGGGTGTGCAATTAGCATCGCCCGACGCCCGGGGCTACCACTTTTTGGGGTCGGACTAGTGATTTTCTGCATGGAGGTAGCCCGTCGGGCTAGTAAAAATTATAACTACACACGCAATACATGAAAAGCACAACCTGTATTTTCACTCTATTTTGCTATCAAATTCCCAACCAGTGAAATTTTTTCTGACAACATGCTCCTACTCTCAATAAATCTCCATAATCTTATCTGTTTTGCAGCACTACCTGACTTATTTACTTCCAAAAACGATCGTTTTTCCTAATCCGAATTTCCTCTATTTTTCCGTTTATGGTAAATACATGCAGATATCTCATTATATTATTTACGATCAGTCAATCAACTGAAAGATAAGTGTTTTATGACTCACATAAAATATATTTATAGTGTATTTAATGATTTAAGATGAAAACAAAATGAATTAAATTTCATTCTAGTTGAGCTAGTGTAATGTTCAGAAAAAGGGAAGATAATTTATCTAAATTCATTTTAATCTGCTTTCATTATAATTTATACATGATTTAATTTCATAGTGAGAATTAAACTTTGATTTTAAAAAGAATGACCTCAGTACCCTGACTTTTTCAACAATTGATTTCTTTTCAACGTATAGTTTTTTATTTTAATTTTTGCCCCTATATTTGGGCTAGTAACTTTTCAATTGGGGCTAGTAACTTTATAGCTGCCATTAGCCCGTTGGCTAGTTATTGATTTTTCTAATTGCACACCCCTGGGTTGGGGAGATTTTCATAGTGAAGATTGTCAAAAATATTTAAAATATATAAAACTAATGAATTCCCTTGCATTGATCGAGGCTACTCGACCAAAGAATAAAACTGCTGCAGGAAATGGTCAAACGCATGCATTTCTACCAATTCATAAAACTTTTTCCCTTAACATTAACGTTTCAACTTTTGTTAACAAAAAAAAATAAGCAATATAAAACAATGATTACTAGCCTCAAACCTAAAAATGGAAGAAGAAAACTGCAGCATGTTTATAAAGAGGTAAAGCATAATATATGCCATCAAAAACATGGAGGAAAACCCCATTGTTCTATAACACGGTATTACATATCTTCCAATCTTGTGGACAATCACTATTGTTTTTTTAAATTATTCTGCTTTTGTCTTTTAGATTTGCGTCCGGATATGTCACCTGATTTCTGCACGGGTAAGGATAATGGTATGTACCCCGATCCCGAGAACTGCAATGGATTCATTGACTGTGTGAATCATATATCGTTCAGGGGTATGTGTAGCCCGGGAATGGCCTTCGACAGCTCAAGACTTCAGTGTGATTACGCTCAGAATGTGCCCGGATGTCCAGAATCAATTTAAAATATAACCATGGTTTGACATGCATAATCACATCCAGTTCACTAGAATTTTGTCCTGTTCCTTTTTATGCCAGGAAACTGTATATATACTTTTTGAATCTGTCCTCCTCAGAACTGGGACGTGACTAACTTTATTTGATCAATATCCACAAATTGTCTCAAATAAACTCGTAAGTGAGTTGGATGATAGTTGATTTCTTCATAACTTCGATATTTGATCAAAACTTTCTTGTGGAAAGTACTCTTTGTCAACTTATTCTTTCAGATGATAAATATTAATTACATTCCATGTATACATCATTTAAAATGCTGATACTGTAACCATGTTACCATAGTGTTATTTGCAATTGTATTTAATACATAATAAACATGTGTTGCTTCTGGAAATCCTATATATTTTTATTAAAAAATGGAAGTAGCTCTGTGTATTCATTTGTACAAGAAAGCCCATTTTGGAACCATCAAAAAATATTTTTAATTCGATATAATAAATTGTCAATATTGTTTAAATAACAAATCTAATTCGTAATACAATTTTTTTTAATAACAAATTTAATTTAGGTAACAGATTTGTTGAATTCGTTATAACGAATTAAAAAAAAACCTATGTAGTTTGTGATAAAGAAATCCATTTGATTGAGTTTGACATTAAGGTAATACGCAACGTAGTTTGATCTTTATTGGGTTCTTCCTTGGAGTTGAAGAGTTCCACTAACCGAAGGACCTGTGTGCAATTCTTTTAATGTCTGTATATGGATTTGTACACCTCTTCTAAAACAACGTTTGATGGAAAAGATGTGTAGAATTTATGTTTCCACATTTTTCTTTGAATAATGCAAAAATTTTCATAATTTGATATGTTTTCAAACCCCCTGGTAACGCATGCTGATTTTTTTTTTCTGAGAACATGTAATGGTATTAATAAGTTTAAATTTTGAATATTTTGAAAAATTATCAGTAGATAAGTTACTTTGCGTATGTCCTTAAAGGTCCATAGAAAAATATTGAGGAACTCGATATAACGCGTTGTAGAATTTGACATAATGAATTTAATTTGTTTTAACAAATATTTGATTATTCAATAATTTAATTGTAGTTGTAACACGTCATTTGATTGGGTAAAAGATTTTATCCATGTTATATAAAATAACTTGCCTACGTAACAATGAGTTACGTAAAAAACGTATCACTTCGCTTGACATTACTTTTAAAATATCCTATATTTGAAGCCTTTTCCGGAGGAAAAATTGTCTAATTGTCTACACTGAAATTAAATTATAAGGAATGAAGCTTATTTCAACTTATGTTATACAATATAACAAAACTTGAGGAAGTTTACGCTTTTTTTTATAAACAACGATGCGGTTTAAAAAGCGTAAGCTGCCCCCAAGTTATGTTATATTATATAACAAAAGTTGAAATAAGCTTCATTCCTTAAATGTTACTTTTACGAATTCAGACATAGTTATATATTCGTTTTCAATCACAGATTCGACAATTTATTTATATCGAATTCAGATTTTTTTTATATGTTCAAAATGGGCTTCCGTAGTAACTAGTTTTCCGAGGAACTTTGGGGCTTCAGTCAGAAGCCTTTTCACAAAACTTAAAGCTAAAGAAAATTTTAACACCCCACACCCGGCCTCCTATCTGTAACTCGGATCAAAGCTATCTAAAGATCTGTGCCTACAACACTTCCTCGTTGTCATAACATTTTTCTTGTCACCTTGTGTTTTAAGCCCTAGTAATCGAAACTGAATTTGGGGGTATATATATTAGCTCTGTCCGTCTGTGTGTCTGTTTGTTCTCAAAAATTATAATCTTACCTATAACTTTGGAGTAGGTGGGACTATGGCTTTCATATTTCACAGGTGCATTCCTTTGTGACAAGACCTTTCTTCATATACCACAAAATTTTACGCTTAACCTTGGAGTTTGGCCCTGCAAAATAAAAAGGAAAAAAATACGAACAATTAACCTTGGATATATCTTTTGAACAGTAGATAATTTATAGGGCGTTCATACTTCACATATGTATGACCTATAACCGAGCTGCTGTTGCAACAATGTCTATGATTTAAAAAAAAAATACATATTTATTTCTCAATTTAGACTGATCATGAGCTACCATCTTCGCTAGCCAAGGGTTTTCGGTCCTCACATCTCCCCATATTGGGAGCGGTGCGGACCGAATACCCTTGGCTATAGCGAATACTCAAAAAGTGATTCGTGGGAAAGCTCAGATAACTTCTGGAAACCTAAGAAAGAGAAATTATATATAACAAAAATAACTGCGTTTACTTTAATTATATCAAAAGTTTAACTCAAATGTACCATAGGGAAAGAAAGACTTGTTAAGTCACGTCTAATCCCTGCCTCACCTTAATCTAGGTTTTCTTCTGCACCTTGACTTCTATACTGATTGTCCTACTGACTTTTGTCTGCAACTGATTGTGTTACTGCGCTTTTATATACCTTTATATATTTGCATTCTTAATTTCAATTGGCTGATGACTAAAAGTTATCTTCTCTCTACTAGAGAGCTCCTAGTTTCTAACAAGAGGGAAGCCTAACAAGAGTCACCTTTGATCGTTGGTTTAAACATATTTTATTGCACTAAATATATGCAATGGGATTGGGCACAAGTTCTAAAAAATTAAATCGCCCTCTCCCTACATGAAATAATATAACAGGATGAATTAGAAATGTCCAACAGTTACATATGTATTTATACCCCACTCAACAAGTTGCGGTAGGTAAAATGTTTTTTGACCCGTCCGTCAGTGTGTCAGTCAGTCAATCCGTCAGTCCTGGTTTTTTTTTTTTTTTTTTTTTTTTTTTTTTTGGTCAGCGCACTTCCTCCTAAACCACTACACTACTAGAATTTCGGTAAACTTTGCAGATATTTAGGACACAGTGTGTAGATGTACATATTACCAGGAAATTCCGATTCCTTTATTTTTTCCGGAAATTTCGACACTTTTTAACTTAAATTTTTGGTCATATCTTGAATATAGAGATAAACAGTTTGTCAGCACAACTCCTCATATACCGCTGCACAGAATTTCGTCAACCTTTGTAGATATTTAGGACACAATGTCAATGTGTAGATGTGCACATTACCAGGAAATTCCGATTCCTTATTCTTCTGGGAAATTTGTCACTTTTCAACTTAGATTTTTGGCCATACCTTCAATAATGAGATGAACAGTTTGTCAGCGCAACTCCTCTTAACCCACTGCACAGACTTTGGTCAAATTTTGCAGATATTTAGGACAGATTTATTGTGTAGATGTGGATATTACCAGGAAATCCGACTCAGTTATTTTTCTGGGAATTTTGTCACTTTTCAACTTAGATTTTTGGCCATATCTAAACAGATTGTCAGCACATCTCCTCATAAACCGCTGCACAGAATTTTGTCAAACTTTGCTTTAGGACACAATGTGTAGATGTGCACATTACCAGGAAATTCTGATTCCTTTATTTTTCAGGGAATTTCGGCTCTTCGACTTTTGGGGGAGCGTGGGGTATGTGAGCTTGCTCACTTTTTCTTTCATTGTTGAAAAAAACCTTTCAATGGGTATAATTTTCTTGACTTTTTGATCTTGACCTTAGAGATTGACTCACTTTTTAAAACTGTAAACTTAATTGATCATAACTTTTGAAAAGTGAATACTAAGGCTTTCGTGTTAATTTCACACGAGTATTTCCCGTGACGAGACCCTCCTTTGGTCCCAGTTTGGATACCAACAATGTCTGTCGTCCGTGTCGTCGTCGTTGGCGTTGAAAACTTTTCATAATTTCATCTTCTTCTCCAGAACTGCTGAGCCAGTTTCAACCAAACTTAGCATTGAGTATCCTTGAGTAAAGGGGTTTTGAACAGCTTTATTCAAATAAAGGGCCACGCCCAAGGGAAGATATTTGCAAAATAGCGAAAAATTAAAGGCATTTTTGAAAAATCTTCTTAATTCTGAAGAACCAATGGGCCAGGAAAGATAGTCATCAGGAATCATTGTCAGGTAATACCAGCTATAACTTACCAATAAATCTCAGATGTTCCTATGTGTGTGCTAGATTCAGGTTCTTCGACTGTTTATGGAGGGAACTCAAGAATGTTCAGCAATGAAATTTTTAAATTTACACTTAGTCTGAAAGAAAAACCTAGTGAATTTAACTAGTGTGTTTCGTAAAGCGTTGGTCGTGATTAGTGAGTTGTGGAGCGGGGGTCGTATAGATACTTAGATACCTAATGAAAGTTACTCATCCATTCTAAGTTTACTAATCTTATCTAGTAAATATACCAATTTCAATTTAAAATATAACCATGGTTTGACATGCATAATCATATCTAGTTCACTAGAATTTTGTCCTGTTCCTTTTTATGCCAGGAAACTGTTTATATACCTTTTGAGTCTGTTCTCTTCAGAACGGGGACTTGACTAACTTTATTTGATCAATATCCACAAATTGTCTCAAATAAACTCGTAAGTGAGTTGAATGATTGTTGATTTTTTCATAACTTCGATATTTGATCAAACCTTTCTTGTGGAAAGTACTTTTGTCAACTTATTCTATCAGATGATAAACATAAATTACATTCCATGTACATCATTTAAAATGCTGATACTGTATTCCAACCACGTTACCACTGTGTTATTTGCAATTGTATTTGATACATAATAAACATGTGTTGCTTCTGGAAATCCCATATATTTTTATTAAAAAATGGAAGTAGCTCTGTGTATTCATTTGTACAAGAAAGCCCATTTTGGAACCATCAAAAAATATTTTTAACTCCATATAATAAATTGTCAATATTGTTTAAATAAGAAATCTAATCCATAATACAATTTTTTTTAATAACAAATTTAATTTAGGTAACAGATTTGTTGAATTCGTTATAACGAATTAAAAAAAAACCTATGTAGTTTGTGATAAAGAAATCCATTTGATTGAGTTTGACATTAAGGTAATACGCAACGTAGTTTGATCTTTATTGGGTTCTTCCTTGGAGTTGAAGAGTTCCACTAACCGAAGGACCTGTGTGCAATTCTTTTAATGTCTGTATATGGATTTGTACACCTCTTCTAAAACAACGTTTGATGGAAAAGATGTGTAGAATTTATGTTTCGTAATTTTTGCACATTTTTCTTTGAATAATGCAAAAATTTTCATAATTTGATATGTTTTCAAACCCCCTGGTAACGCATGCTGATTTTTTTTTTCTGAGAACATGTAATGGTATTAATAAGTTTAAATTTTGAATATTTTGAAAAATTATCAGTAGATAAGTTACTTTGCGTATGTCCTTAAAGGTCCATAGAAAAATATTGAGGAACTCGATATAACGCGTTGTAGAATTTGACATAATGAATTTAATTTGT